TTCGTCTAGTGACTCAAAGCGTGCCACTTTTCGGATATCAATATACAAAACAGAATACCCCGTTCAATAGTATTGTTTTCTTCTTCTTCTCGTTGACCAGCTGTAAGTTCTGGTTGTTCGTCCACTTTTGACTTCCGTCCTGCTCCTGAACCTGAGTTTTGCGTGTGCATCCGTTTTACAGATCTGACTCATTTGTATGAGAATTGCTGCTTCCTTGCCTCTCAGGCAGATGCACCTCCGACTTTGAAGGAAGCTCCCAATTAGTCGACTCTTACGACATGCTTTTTTGGTAGGCTTGGGTCTATTCTTGTTTTTTTTTTTCTATAACAGGGCTCCGGAACCCCCAAGGGGAGTTCAACAGGACATAATATCCAGTCTTGTAGCACACGTACAATAAAATTACTTTGTGTGTGTGTGTGTTTTTTATAACAGAAAAAAAATTAAATATGCCATCATAATGGAACTGGCTGAAAGCATTGTTTATATGAAACAATTTACCATTAACTAAACCCCTAACAAGGCGAAAAACTGTTTAGTCTAAACACTATTAACAGCACGGCATAAATAATAAACAAATGTTGGGACGCCGATAGCACAAACTTTGTAGCTAACAACTGAAATATAGGACCGGTTTGAGCAAGCCGATAAATGTAGTTCCATATTTTCAATGAATGTTACTTCTAATATTTTATACGTATATCATGTATAATATATGTATTACTTAACGTCTTCTTCTTCTTCTTTTTCTTCTTCTTCTTCTTCTTCTTCTTCTTCTTCTTCTTCTTCTTCTTCTTCTTCTTTTCTTCTTCTTCTTCTTCTTCTTCTTCTTCTTCTTCTTCTTCTTCTTCTTCTACATCTACTCCACCTCTTCCTTCTTCTTCTTTTGTTCTTTTTCTTTTCTTCTACTTCTTCTATTTCGTTTAATCCTCCTTCTCCTCCTCCTTCTTCTCCTCCTCCTTCTTCTTCTTCTTCTTCTTCTTCTTCTTCTTCTTCTTCTTCTTCTTATTCTTCTTCTTCTTCGTCTTCTTCTTCTTCTTCTTCTTCTTCTTCTTCTTCTTCTTCTTCTTCTTCTTCTTCTTCTTCTTCTTCTTCTTCTTCTTCTTCTTCTTCTTCTTCTTCTTCTTTCTTCTTCTTCTTCTTCTTCTTCTTCTTCTTCTTCTTCTTCTTCTTCTTCTTCTTCTTCTTCTTCTTCTTCTTCTTCTTCTTCTTCTTCTTCTTCTTCTTCTTCTTCTTCTTCTTCTTCTTCTTCTTCTTCTCTTATTCTTCTTCTTCTTCTTCTTCTTCTTCTTCTTCTTCTTCTTCTTTGATCCTTCTATCAGAAAACTTATATCAGGAGGCCGGTAGCCTTTATGAAAGCTATCATGCAGTGCATATCTTCTCGTGTACCATACAGTTGTGTCTTCATTGTGGTTGGAACAGGCCAGATTGCATCTCTGTTGTCAGCATACAGTTGACAGTGTTAGGGCCCATGCTCAGCATTTGTTGGTGCCAAGTAGCGGGGACACGTCTCTGTGTTTCCTACACCGAAAACTTTGAACATATGCTGGCGAAGTCTGTTACTACCCTGTGCTTAGTCTGAATATAATACATCTCCTCTCTCTCTCTCTCTCTCTCTCTCTCTCTCTCTCCCTCTCTCTCTCTCTCTCCCTCTCTCTCCCTCTCCCTCTCTAGAGAAGCAATGAAATTGCTCTTGGGCAGAGATTCTGGTGTGTGTATCTAGCCATTTTCTAGGACACTAGATTGTATTCGTGTCTTCGTCACTTGGTGGGATCGTGATTCTAGAGAATGTATACGATGACCAGCAATGGCCGCCTACGCTTAACTCATAGCACAGCTGAGGAGCGGCTGGTCGAGCGGTTATGAACGCTGGACTCATGCAAGAGACCCGGGATCAAATGTTTGGTATGGCTGTGTATTTGATCTGTTGGGGGCAAAGATAAAATCCTGACCTGTACACAGTCCATGGCGACAATATTAGCCATACAGCCCTAAATCCCCAGACTCATCCCCCCACCCCCAACTCCAACTCAACCGTACCTTTTTTTTTCCTACACTGCAGGAAACTAGGCAAATGTAGGCAAAAACTAACTTATTTTCCCAACATAACGATGATGTCATATAATAATTAATCATGAAAACCTCACTGGAACATGCAATAGATGTTTAAACGATGTGGATACACCCAGACACACATAGGTTGCATTAAATGTAAAACAAGCCAAACACACGCGCAAGTAACTTTAGAGAATTATAAATGAGCTGATGAAAGCACTCAAAAGGACTTCCGGTCAAAATGGACGTTAGGCAGCGGCACTGTTCGAAACAGAGGTAAATTTTTTTGCTTCTGCCGGACGGTGGCTGATGCATTTTTGCTCCATTTGTAGACTGGATATAGTTTCGTCGCCCAGCTCCTGAGTTGAATGCATGGCGTGACCCTGTGAGCTGCGGATTGCATTTGGAATGTTTTTTCGATTGCGACCAACGTGTTGGTGTGAATTGTAGATTCAGAAAATGGCGCGATGCCTGTCGTGCAGTGTTGTGGTGCCCGTATGTGATTAAAATTGATCGCGTGGGCAACTGCTGATCTGTTGGCGACTTCTGCTACCATCAATGATAAAATGCAATTATAATACTGTGATAAACATTCTGTGTGTTTTTTCGTTGGCACAGGAGCGGAGCAAAGATGTGGTGACCCGTTTGCTATGAAGCTGAAACTAAGACTACCAGACTACCAGATAAGACCCAAAAGGAAACTGCTTGTTTTCTCTGTGTGTGATGGGGCGGGCAATCTAGGCATGCGTGCAAAGTTTGGCACATCAAAGAATTGTCTGTGGCATGCTGGGTGAACTATGGTGCATGCTCTAGTTATAGTTATATGTATGTTGTACCCCATCAGGACATCACATAAAGCGATAAACACCCGGTGACAAAAAGTGCCACCATGCGGATGAGGATACCCGGTGGAGAGGACCCAGAAACACTTTTCAGTCATTCATGATCATGTAGCAGGTCGTTTGCAGAAAGTCGCTCTCATCACAGTCTGCCTGAAAAAAACTCGGTCTCTCGCCAGTTCTCCTGCCTCATATACTTTCACACTCAAGGAGTCACTTATATCCTGTGCCCATCTTCGTGTCAATCGGCCCCTGTCCCTCCTTTCTGGTACCATGCCTTCTGCTATAGTTTTTTTTTTCCAATCCGTTGTGGCAATTAGTCATTAGGCAATATTTATGGCCCGGCTATATTCAGGGCCCCCGGCAAAACCAGGGTGGGGCTTCAAATAAGGAACAATTACATCCCATATGGGGACGTCTAGATTTTCTAGACGCAGTTATAGTATAATAGTAAAAACAGACGATGAAAAGTATATGTAGTAATAAAATATTGCTTCTCGATATTATACTGAAGGACAATTCTACTAAGTTTACCCAGGGGCCAACATTTTGAAATGGGCGTCTTCACGGGATGGAGACCCGAGCCTCAGTGTAGAAAGATCATTAATAAAATACAACTGGCATTGATCCGCGGGCCACTTTCAAGGCCTTCGCGGGCCAAATTTGGCACCCGAGCCACCAGTTGAATAGACCTGCTATACTAACACACAAGAGAAATATATGTTGTAGTTGTTAATCAGTGCTATGCTATGCAACAGCAAACTTATTTAGAAGGTACTATATAGGCCTATTTTGTAGTAAAGGTATAATATACTATACTAAACTATACTAAACTATACTATACTATACTATACTATACTATACTATACTATACTATACTATACTATACTATACTATACTATCCTATCCTATACTATACTATCCTATACTATACTATACTATACTATACTATACTATCCTATACTATCCTATCCTATACTATACTATACTATACTATACTATACTATACTATACTATACTATACTATACTATACTATACTATACTATACTATACTATACTATACTATACTATAATGTCCCGTGCTATACTATACTATACTAAATTATACTTCGCTACGCAACGCTATACTATACTATATATACTATGCTGTACTGCACTTTACTTTTCTATAGTATGTTTTGATATACTATACTGTATGGTTTAGGAGACGGATCAACATCATGGCACAAGGGGTAACCCATAAGTGCTCCCTTCGACTTCTTACTCAAGACTGAGTCTGAAGAATCTCAGCACAGTGCACGAACTTGGTAGCACCGGCGAGGATCCTGAAATACTTTGGGTAGATTTTTAAACTCCAAATTGTTTCCCGGGCAGCGCCCTTAGGTTACTCTTTTGGATTTCCAACTGCCAGGGGATTTTTTTTAATTGTGCAACAATGCACACGGGTGTCTGACCCTACTACCCAGAGATCAGGGGGAAATTACTAGAAGACCACGTGAAAAAATATCACAGCCCTCACTGGGTCCTGAACTAAACCTGGGACTTCCAGCACTCGAGGCGGACTCCATACCTCGAGACCACGCAGCCCCCAATATACCATATGGCCTATCGGCCAGATGCGTAAAAGAGTCCTTTACAACCAGTGTCACAACTACCACCACTACAACTACCACCGTCACAATAACCACCACCGTCACAACTACCCCCACCACTTCTACTTCATATAGTATATGCTATACTATAGCTGCGTGGATTGTTATCATATTATTGGGCGTCGCAGGTCGACCCAGCCTAAATTGCGTACCAGAATGGACGTCCTGGAGAAGTAAAGACAGCTGGCGTAATGCTGACCACGTTAACCACCTAGTGTCGATTGGTCTGTAAAAATATGGGATGCTCTTTCCATATGCCCGATGCGACTAAGGCGTAAAAAAAGATCTTTACTTTTACTTTTTATACTATTCCATGTTATTATATAATATGCTATACTATGGTATACTGAAGTATACTATTTTACGGTATGTTAGTATATACTATGCTGTTCTATACTGTACTATGGTATGTTATTATACACTATACTTTGCTATACTATACTATACTATACTCACGTAAATGGTGCGGTACGAGGTGTTGAAGAAAACCACGTTCTCCTCCAGACGAATCTCGTTACTGCTAATATCATCACCGGGTCCTAAGATTTGATCCCCCGTTAGCGAACCAAAAGGATAAAACTGACTAATAGGCACGCTGTCCACTCGACCCAGAATAACACACACCATAATCAGGCACGCAGACTGGAACCTCGCCCCCATCCTGGCACAGCAGATGTCTCAGTGTGCTTTTTCAAGATCGTAGTCCGATTGTTTATATTCGTTGAGACACTGTATGGCGCCAGGAATGGCTGTCTTATAAACACCGTTCTAACCCTGGCCGCTTCAAATATTCCCGGTTTCCTAGGGCGACGGGTGGGTTAGGAACGTGTTCAGAACACTGTGGTTTAAACTATTCAGTCTAACTGAAGCATACACTTGATGTTATGAATGGTTATTGGTTGAAACTTTATGAAAAACAAACAAACGCACAAACAAATAGTCATTTCGTATTTATGGCACATCATTAGTAGCAACATCACTAGTAGTTGCAGTAGTAATAGTGGTAGTGGTAGTGACAATAGTAGCAGTATCGGTTGTGATAGTCGCAATAGTGGTGGAAGTAGTACTGATTGGTGGTAGTAGTGGTTGTAGCTGTGGTAGTAGTAGTGGTAGTGGTAATAACAGTAGTGGTAGTAGCAAAGATGGTAGTAGAAGTGGTGTTGGTACCAGTAATAGTGGCAGTGGTTGTAGTAGTGGTAGCAGTAGCAGTGGTTTTGGTAGTTGTGGTGAAAGTGATTGTAATAGTGGTTGGTGGTATTAGAAGTGGTGGAGATAATGATAGTGATAGTAGAAGTGGTGTGGTGGTGGTTGTAGAAAGATGGTGGTGTTGGTAGTAGTGGTGGTAGTTCTGATAGTGGTCGTGGTGGTAGAAGTTGTGGTGGTAGTTGTAGTGGCGGTGGTAGTAGTGGTGGTGGTAGCTGAAGTGGTGGTGGTGGTGGTGGTAGTAATAGTAGTGATGGTGGTAGTAGTTTTAGTGACGGTGGTGGTGGTGGTAGTAGTAGTGGTGGTGTTAGTAGAAGTGGTGGTGGAAGTAGTAGTGGTGCTGGTGGTAGTAGTAGTGATGGTGGTGCTAGTAGTAGTGACGGTGGTGGTAGTAGTAGTGATGGTGGTGGTAGTAGTAGTGATGGTGGTGCTAGTAGTAGTGACGGTGGTGGTAGTAGTAGTGATGGTGGTGGTAGTAGTAGTGATGGTGGTAGTAGTAGTGATGGTGGTGGTAGTAGTAGTGATGGTGGTGGTAGTAGTGACGGTGGTAGTAGTAGTAGTGATGGTGGTGGTAGTAGTAGTGATGGTGGTGGTGGTAGTAGTAGTGATGGTGGTGGTGGTAGTAGTAGTGATGGTGTTGGTAGTAGTAGTGCTGGTGGTGATGGTAGTAGTAGTGATGGTGGTGGTAGTAGTAGTGATGGTGGTGGTAGTAGTAGTGATGGTGGTAGTAGTAGTGACGGTGGTGGTAGTAGTAGTGATGGTGGTGGTAGTAGTAGTGATGGTGGTAGTAGTAGTGATGGTGGTGGTAGTAGTAGTGATGGTGGTAGTAGTAGTGATGGTGGTAGTAGAAGTGGTGGTGGAAGTAGTAGTTGTGTTAGTAGTAGTGATGGTGGTAGTAGTAGTAGTGACGGTGGTGGTAGTAGTAGTGACGGTGATGGTAGTAGTAGTGATGGTGGTGGTGGTAGTAGTAGTGATGGTGGTGGTGGTAGTAGTAGTGATGGTGTTGGTAGTAGTAGTGCTGGTGGTGATGGTAGTAGTAGTGATGGTGGTGATGGTAGTAGTGGTGGTGGTAGTAGTAGTGATGGTGGAAGTAGTAGTGGTGGTGGTAGTAGTAGTAGTGATGGTGGTAGTAGAAGTGGTGGTGGTAGTAGAAGTGGTGGTAGTGGTAGTTTGAGTGACGGTGATCGTGGTGGTGGTAGTAGTGATGATGGTGGTAATAGTAGTGATGGTGGTGGTATTAGTGGTGGTGGTAGTAGTAGTGACGGTGGTGGTAGTAGTAGTGATGGTGGTGGTAGTAGTAGTGATGGTAGTGGTAGTAGTAGTGATGGTGGAAGTAGTAGTGGTGGTGGTGGTAGTAGTAGTGATGATGGTAGTAGAAGTGGTGGTGGTGGTAGTATTAGTGATGATGGTAGTAGAAGCGGTGATGGTAGTAGAAGTGGTGGTGGTGGTAGTAGAAGCGGTGATGGTAGTAGAAGTGGTGGTGGTGGTAGTAGAAGCGGTGATGGAAGTAGTAGTGGTGGTGGTGGTAGTAGAAGCGGTGATGGTAGTAGAAGTGGTGGTGGTGGTAGTATTAGTGATAATGGTAGTAGAAGCGGTGATGGTAGTAGAAGTGGTGGTGGTGGTAGTAGTAGTGATGATGGTAGTAGTAGTGATGGTGGTGGTAGTAGTGGTGGTGGTGGTAGTTTTAGTTACGGTGATGGTGGTGGTAGTAGCAGTGGTGGTGGTAGTAGTAGTGATGGTGGTGGTAGTAGTAGTGATGGTGGTGATGGTAGTAGAAGTGGTGGTGGTAGTAGTAGTGGTGGTGTTCGTGGTGGTAAAGGACCCTTTCAGGCATCTGGCCTGTGGGGCATATGGCACCAGATAGAATTTGTATAGACCGATCGACATTCTGCAGGCGGGGCGATCAACGTTACACCACCGACTTTACTTTCCCTGATATTTCCTTGTACCCTTTTAGAATGGATCGACATGGAAGCAAAAGTAGTTTTGAAAAGCTATCCGCCGCCATGCAGATTTAAACCTAAGATATTCGAGTTGCCAAGGAAGCTGCTACGCCACCCGGTTGCTAGATAATACAGGGGAGCTTTAACCAGATTTCTAGAGTATGCTGTGTCAAACAGTAAAATGTGAAATAAAAAAGACATTATATGGTGTCAGTGACTCAAAAACAAAATGATCTTATTTCACACGACGCGTTGTTTGGAACTTAGAGCGGTTAAGACAATATTACAATGAAACAAACATTTAGTAGCACATGTTAAATGTTGAATTAAGGATCGACATCACAAAACTCGAGAAACCCCCATAAGTGCTCCGTCCCTATCTTCAGCAGAAAGCGAAGAGTTCCAATTCTGGTGACACCAGTATCCGATTACACCAGTAACTATCTGATTGCATATCCGTATCACCTTTACCCTGAGTGTTGAGCGTCGGCCAGATCCCCTTGTAACTCCTCGCAGCGTCATTCTTCCCAGACTGTAATGATCCATCTGTGCCTTGTCACTGTTCAATCGCTCACAAAGAGCCCTCACAACATCCAGCTTGTTATACATCAGTTCACAACCAAGCGGTGCACAACTGGTCAGTCTAACTGCCTGCTCATTTCCCAATACACCGGCATAACCTGGAGAAAATATCTAAGGACCTCTGAAGTGATGCTTGCCACTCTGCACGGAACATGCCTGTCTTCACCTTTTTCAACACATGTAGTAACACATGGAAATGCTTTAAGCCTGTTCTTCAACAAGCCGTCGGAGGATCACCGGCGGTCCGCAGAAATGTCTTAGTGTGTGTCAGTGTCTTTGTGTGTAAACGTATGTGTATTCATATTGTTTTGTTAGTCCTTTCCCTCTAGGATTGCTGTCTGTATGAATAACATCTCAAGGAGGAGAATCAAACGGACAGAAATGCTGGAAACCCCGTTATAGCCATATAGCACTTTTATTCCCGGGGCAGCAGAACAAACAGCGACACATGCAGTAATTGTATCCGACTGCATGAACATGCTTCAGAAGATAGCAACAGGCGGTGTGCGCTCTGAATGGGTAAAAAGCGTTCGAAAATCGCACTTAACCTCCCATCACCACCATCACTACTACTACCACCACCATCACTACTACTCCCACCACCATCACCGTCACTAAAACTACCACCACCGTCACTACTACTACCACCACCATCACTACTACTACCACCACCACCACTACTACTTCCACCACCACTTCTACAAACCTGGTCATACTGGCGTAAAGGGTAATAAACGAGCGGACCAACTGGCAAGCATTGCTCCAACGCATGAGATAAGAAGCATGGACAGAGCAGATATCGCCAACTTGTACAGACTGGGCTAGTGAATAATGGCGAAACTCTTGACACTAACACAATTGCGTGACATGGGAGTAAAGCACGGTGACGCACATCTATACCGACTTCCAGACCAAGACAAGAAACATTATAACCAACCTCTCACGGGAACAATTAGTAGATGTGCCTTTGAGTGGCTGCTGCATCGGAGGAATTAGCACGCGTGGGAATGCCCAATGTGCACTGGTAATATAACATAACATATTGAGGCACCACGAAATGGTTACAAAATAACCAGTAGTCCGGTGTGGTAGGGTCTTTTATGTTTCTATAGTCCGCCCAGCATTGCTTTCTACTCACATAGTGAGTGCACCATTCCGGCACAGTAACATATAAATTAAGTAAAAAAGTAAGTAAAGAACCCTTCTCCACGCCTTTAGATGTATAGGGCATATAGGGCTAGACCTATATTTTTCTAGACCAATCGGCACTGAATGGGTGATGTGATGAGCATTACGACGGCCGCCTTTACTTCCCACGACTGCACCTGGTATCCACTCAATGCTGGGTCGACCTGGGAGCCAAGGTCATGAAATAAAAATTCCGACTCCACCAGAGAGGAACCAGCGACCTTCCGATCCACAGGCGAGCGTCTAGCCGCTACGCCAAGGCAACTGCCAGAGTAACCCATAACAGACCTAACCTGTCTTACCTCTAAATAGCAATACCACCAATTGTAAATTTATTACATCGGATTTTAGAAAAGAAATGCTTTGTACGAGTCTAAATTGAAAAAAAAAAAAAAAACGAAAACCAAGTGTGCTCTATTTGAGCAGTAATGTAAATAAAGATGGGGGAACTGATGGAGACATTAAAATACAGATACAAAAGGCAAGAGGAGCTTTGATAGCTTCGCGGAATTTGTGGAGATAAAAGGGAATTAAACTGATATTAAACTTAATATCTTTAATTCTAATGTCAAATCAGCACTGTTGTACGGAGCGGAAACATGGAGAACCACTAAGGCAGTTAATAATAAACTACAACTATTCATTAGGTGGTGTCTGCGCAGAATAGAGGGAATTAAATGGTATGAAAGAATCACTAATGTAGAGCTTTGGGAAAGAACTAAACAAGTTCCAGTGGACCAAGAG